CTTATCAGAGTTTGGTGTACCTGACTTTGAAGTCTGCTTTTAAAGGTGCAGGTTAGGGTTTATACTGACAGAGCTAAGGGCACCAGTGATATATGCAGAAGCACAGAAAAGGGCTGTCAGCTTTGGAATTAGTCTCTCCCAGTTCTGCAAGAGAACCAGACTACTCATGACAAAGCAAGACTCAACATTTTGCCAAAGTTAGCATATCAACCTCACACCTTCTTTGTTTCTCAACATGCAACTTTGGTTTTAAGCTTCTAGTGTGTGCTAGGGGCCATGCATAAATAAAAATGAGTGGTATCAGATAACTTCATCATTGCAATTGTGAAATCCTTACATAGTATCTTAACAAATCAAGGGAAGCTTTTTACTTTAGAGAAAGAACATTATGTGAAGAATATAAAAATTGCCTATATAATGCTGCCATGGGGTGCATCTCAGATAAATTTATTTGATCAGCAAAAAGGAAGCAATGTCTGCCGTTAACAACCGAAGATCATGTTCTAATTTTAACAGTTGTAGTTAACTCATTCCCAACAGAGTTGCACTTACCGTGAGAAGGTTTCTAACTGCTTCAGCACTGAAAGGAAACAAGCATCGAGTCATTCAACAGTAGTTCTATATGCAAATATGCTTTTTGGCCCATGAAGGGAAAGCATATGGCATCTGCTGCTATACCCATTCAGCCAAACATTTCTATATATTTCTTATGATGCAAATGCTGAAAAAATTTCATTTTCTACACAATGTCTTAGGTGCCCCTAAACAAATACGTTCATTAGCATGCATATGTGGTGTTCTTTTATGGACAGAGCATGTGTACAAAAACCGCATACACCCTTCTTACCTAGAACTGGAACGTAAAGTTTTAACCAGCAGACACATTTTCCTTGATAACCAACAATTATTATACTAATTTTCTTTATAGATTATGATCATGTCTTATATAACTCAACAAATATTAAGCTGATATATTACATTTTTATTAAACATCTGGAAAATGTAATATGAATTGTCCTGTTTATTCATCATTTAAATCCCAGAACGGTAATATGGAACGAAGAATCTAACATCACATAATGCAGTCATTTGCACACTGAACTTCCATCATGACCTACAGCAAAATCTGCATTACAGCTGTTCAACAGAAAGGAATAAAATCCAAGAAGCTTTTTTATAGTGAAGGTGATTTAGTACAACGTCCTTGAACAAAATTCTTTTACAGTTATAAGACTTTTGGTTGATCCTAAGTATACACATGGTGCTAGAAGAATCCTAGCGGCTCATACTGAGGTATATTAAAAAAAAATAAAGAGACTCCCTTGGTGAGCAGTGATAAATGCAAGGCTCTTTAAAGAGTGATTTTTCAATGAATTGTGTAAACAGACTTTGCACTTTAGAATAAAATCTTGAGCAAGTTATTTCACAGTAAATAATGAGAACTCCTTTTTCATTCAAAAAGCGTAAGAAAAAATGTTAAATTCAGCAAAGTTTAACACAACGTTATGATGCAATGTTGTCAAGCTAAGTGTTCCTGAAGCGTCACCTGTTCTTCTGGTGAAGACTAACCCCTGCCCTGATCCTGCAACTGACCGCAGGGGCTGGAACCTCAAGTGAGTTGGACTTGAGCAGGCGCCAGGAAGGTTTTTGGATGGAGAGAACCGTCTGCCACCACAGATGAAAGAGCCAAACCAGGAACCTACAGATGTATTGGCTAGATTCACCAAGCATGGCAGTGGGCATTTAGGAATGACGTACGTATAGCAAGAAACTCACTTGGGCAGTTCATTCACGGTATTAACATGCAGGCGGATATAAATGTGCTCTGCCCATTCCCCAAGCCAACCAGGGGCATCAGCACCATGCTGATGGGGCCTCTGGGCTTGGAGACAAGGGAATGCAAATGGGAGTTATGCTGACTTCCCCCCCCGAGTGTGCAGGCACTAACGCACAACAGGAAAGGAAAATGCTTTCAAATAGCTACAACTTTAAAACGTTTAAATGTGTGAGGATGTACATTACAACTTAATATAATTAAGTCCACTCCAAGGAGGATAATTACTTCTTCTCTTCTAAAATGGGATTAAAGGCATAAATACATATAGTCATCTTAGCTATGGACGGGTAACAAAATTTAGACACACAGGATGAAAAGAGACTGTTCATACGTTGTGCATCTTTGGGTTGGCTAGCATGAAATAGATTAGCACCTCATTTAGTATAGCACCTCATTTAGTTTAGCAGCCATAGTATTACACTATTTTCTCAGAAAATATATACCAACTAATGCAGCATGATTTTTTAACTAAACATCTTACAAAATTTACCTGATATTTTATAGAAAAAAAATCTGATATTTTATGGAAATATGCACTGCAAACTTTAACTCACTACATAAAGAAAAATGTTTTAGGATAGAGAAATTAAAATTTTTATCTATTACTGCAAACAAAACATTATATCCAAAAATATTTTTCATTTTGCAGGCTGTAAGTAATTAGCATGTCTTTTTTGTATGTGTTTTTAATGAGTAAATACACACAAAACAGACAGGATCCTGAAGCAGCATGATACACAACCGTGGGCCTTAAAGCACAAGCTATTGCGTTGACTTGAATGGGATGATTATTCCTGAGCAGACTGCTCAGCACATATTTAAACACCTAATGGCTGCAAACGGGCAGCAATTTTTTCTCAAGCCATGGCAGGATGGGATAAATTCTTGTGTTGCTTCTTCAAAGCCCCCTCCTCCTCAGGTATCTCTTCCCACTGCTGTCATGCTGCAGTCAAACCTGCCACAGCTAGGCAGGGCTATGTGTGCTCCTAACAAAGGACAGGTTGACTTCCTGTCATTAAAGGAACATAAGGGACTAATGCCTATTCCCTCCTCTTCTCCCTTCTTCCCCCACTCAATTGTCATCAAGCGGTGCTTTCCACTTCAAGCTGTAATGGCTGGAGGCACGTGACAGTTGAGAGGAGAATGAGCTCTTCCAAATAATCTTGGAATATGGGTGGAGGGAATCAAAGGAAAAGGTAAGAAAGGAGAAAGAGCCCCTGAGTTTGGTAAGGAATCAACTGGGATGAGATGGGAAAAAAGAAACAGAAAAGACCTGTGAGAGAGAAGGAACAGATCTTGTGTGAAATGGTGTTTCAAAAAATTGCCGTTTCCCTTCAGTCGCAGTTTTGAAGATGAGTATGAACGAGGCACTATTGCTCTTTGTGTGTTGGTATCGCAGAAGGAAGAAGCATGCACGCGTACTTGCACTGACCTACAGTGTTAGCTCTTGTCAGACTGGGGGACGTCACAACAGGGTTGCTCAACCAGTGCAAATCCCTGAGCGTTCCCTGCTGCACTTCTTCAGCATGGGCCCAAGTGTCCATCTTCAAAACAACCTCCTTTTCTGAAAGGGTGTCACTGAGGTCTAACTGCCCTAAGTTCCTCATACAAAGGCACTTCAGGTGTTAAGTCTTTAACTGATTTGGAGGGTAGACGAAGGCAGTACAAGTTCTCACCTTGCTGCCACACCTCAACTCTGGCTGGAAACGGCGACCATGGCCATGGAGGCGTCAAAGGGGGATTTGTGAGGATGGGAATAGACAGGGCTGTCATGCATGAGTGTTTTCCAAAGACAGGATTCATCTCACATTAGTTCAGACAATTAGGATAGAAACATCTAGTCTAAGCCGGTCATCTGGGCTACTTCTGAGATCAATGGGGAGAGAGAAATCCTGGGCTCATCTTAACCTTCGACAGGCACCTCTGTATATTAATTCTATTAAAATAAACAAACAAAATCTCCCTCCAAATTCTTAAAATTCTAAACCAGTGGCTTAGGAGCAGCCTCACTTTCAGAGAGAATAACCACTAGGGCTTAGTCTGATATTACTAAGCTCTTAGCTTAGAGGCTATCAAACAATTCTGAAAATAGTGACTATTGGCAACCTGAGCCAGATGTGAAGCAGAAGCCTAAGGGCTCAACATCCTTCCAGCACTTTCTCTGAATCCTTGAATCCCTCATTTAAAAGAAAAAATAAAGTATCGTATTTAACTGAACTTGAAATAGCCACCAAATTGTCACATACTAGCATTCTGACTTCCCTAGCAGCATTTACCATAAACTGAACTAAATATAGAGCTAATCAAGGAAAATGTGCATATTTATGTTGTTTGTCTTCCCTCATTTTATTATTTACATTTTGTTCAACCACCAACCTTTCCAGGTTCGTGAAATAATCATGCAACTGAAGAGCAGTCTGATATTACTTGTCATAATAATCCTCTTGCTTAAGATCCTGCTTAACTTAGGCAAGGTTATAAATAATATGCCAGGTTACCACAGGTTACACGAACAGACTGTAACCTCTTGTCTTAGTCTGAATTAAACCAAGGAATGGCCAGATCTTAACAGACGAAGAAAGGAAAAGAGTGGCCTCCAGAAAGCTAGCAACTTCTGTGGTATCAGATTCTTCTGGGAAAAACAGGAGTCCATTAAACTATACCAGTTAATTTGTAAATGGGAGAACGAAAAAGACAATCACCTTAGTTGTTTAAAGAACGAAAACAAAACAAAAAATCTCACAAAATTTCTATCCTGGAAGAGATGGTATCTGCTATATTTTCCTTTATTGTCTACTGTATATATGTTCTTTTTTAGGTTTTGAAAACTTTAGAGTGCAACATGTGTTGTAGATTCATTTAAGTTTTGCTGAATGATCAGAGAGGCCTTAAAATTTCATTGCATATGATCTACAATTAGTAATAATTAAAAAGCTCTAGTCTTTGCTACAGATAAGTGCCATGACTGGACAAATCTTGTTAGTGTAATGCTGATTGTATTAGTACACAAGAGATGCAAAATTGGGTGTATGTTTTGATGTGCCATTGTTCTTCACTGTAATGCAATTTCAAGTAATAATGACAAAAACTGTTGTTCAAATAGTGGATCAATAACACGTACACCGTGAAGCCTCATTCCCTGCTTAGCTTTCGTTTCTCTTACCTGGTCTCTTCTGTAGCTATAAAGAAACCATCATCTGAAGCATCAAGCCAATTTTGCCTCTGTCTCTTGATCACTGGAATGGTGCTTGTCTTAATGGCACTTGCACTGGCTTGCAAGGCCTTACCATTAGTCATATGAACATGGGGAGCAGCATGCTGAAATCATAACAAAAAACGGGAAAAATATTTGCCTGAGAACAAGCGTAATTCTGTCAACCAACTCTGCTGTTAAGGGCAGCCTACACACAGTTGCTCTAAAAAAAACAGCTACTCTTTTTCAACAAGCCCCTGGGAATCAGATAACATCCTCTGACTGTCTGTTGCAGAGGGAGCTCCTTAAAAACTAAAATAACTGTTGCTCATGCCATTCTGTACAAAGAGAAATTGAGATACAAACCAAGGCCACGACTAATGCAGTTCCGCAACAGAAACCTGTGGGCTTTGTGAGAGAATTCACTTATCCTGAGCGAATACTCCGTATCCCAACAATGACCTAGACCACTTCTACTCTGATCCAAGTACAGCATTTAATTTAATAATTAAAACAAATCCACACTTCTCACTTTTTGGGTCCTCACTCTCTCTCGCTTTCTTTTTAAACAAATATCACTCAAGACAGTATAAGACAAGAGGCCTGGTCCTGCTGCTAACTTAAATGGAAGATAACAAATATTTTTATTACCCTGGTGTCACCACAGTTTTTAAGTTCACTCACAAATCATTATATACTAGAGCTGACTGCAATACTGCTGCCTTTATTTTAACATAGATAATATTAAACATAAAATGATGCATTAATTTTCCACTAACCCTTCACCTGAAATAATTGTGCAACAAGATTTAAAGACAGTAAGTACTTGGATGCAATGAGAGAGGCTGCCTTCTGATATATGTATAGGAAGGGAGTAAAAATGATGTTTTCTGTATGATCTGTAGGTTGCATTTTGGAAGAATATCCAGCTACGAATATATTTTGGAAATTACAGTCTTGTATGACACATGGTCAGTTACCAGCAGAATTTAGAAATAACACTATTTGATCCAAACAGACACGTCAGAAGGCAATATATAATGATGAAACTTCTGTTTACTTTATCTAACATGGATGCAGCATCATGTTTTCTTAGGAAGAAGTATTATTTCTTGGTGAAATAATACAAAGTATGCTCATTTTTTGTAAAGTTCATGAAATGGGCTCAATTCTGCACATTCGCACGAGTAGCCTCTAATTAGCGGATCAACTGCACTGTCACTGAGTGAGGAAACATGCACAAAGTCTAGCAGAATAAAACTCAGAAATGATCTCTCAAATCATAGGATGAGAATATAAGAGCCAAAAATAGTAAATAAGGGCCTCGTTTCCCCCATGAAGTTTTTACACTCATATTCTATGCATTATATTCACGTTATGTTGCAACTCTCAACATACCCTCATCCCGACTACTTGCTCCCTCCAGTAGGACAAATTTTATACATCATAGGAAAAATTTTAGTGCAAATAACTGAACAATCTCCTCTATGATTCCTTAGGTTTATGTAAAAACATGTACAACAGAAAGCGGTGATAAGACATCAAATTTGAGTGAGTGAGTCTCAGTTAACTCTTTCTTAGACCTAAATTACATTCGTCTCTCAGACAAACAAGGTTTATGGTGAATTCAGTTGCTGTTGCACATAGTCAGAGCTGTAAATCTTCCGCTGCAGTCCCTTTAAACACTCGCTTAAATTTTTCCACTTTTTCATTAAGTGCCTGGGCTGCAGTTTGGTTTTGATGTATTTTTGTGTTGGTTTTCTTGGGGAGGAAGATGGAAAGGGCATGCTACCAGACGCAATTCAGTTGTTATCTAGAATAACTTCAGGATAAAATACATAGTTTGGATGAAACTGGAAATTCACAAAGGCATTTAACTGATGATCTCCTGGTTCACAAGGTGGACAGTACTCAAAAAAAAGAATATGAATTCATGCACAGAAAACACTGCCATAGATCAGATTTTATAGTACCACCAAACTATTTTGTCTGGCAATAAACAGTACTATATGTTATAGAGGAGCATTCAAGGTCCCAAATGGAAAATTTTTGCTGTGTTTCCTCAGTCAGAAATGGGTTTAAGTTCTCAAATATGATGATTTTTATCTTTTCCCAGGTTCTTTTCTAATATACCACTGAATGTTTCCTTTACTCAAGATAATAACCAAGCACAGGCAAAAAACATTCCAGAAATGTACAAGGTATGAGAAGGGCATTTCCTGTGGCATAAACTCTGAAGAGTAGTTGAGCCTCATGGAAAAAGTAAGTGTTTTTTCATAATACCTTTTCCCCTGGCAGAGATGGATGTCATTACTAGTTCTGAACTTCTGTTTTTTCTACTTTTATTAGAACGGAACTTGTTATTGCAGGCAAGATGTTACAGAAAACCGTGCAAGGGTTACAATGTCATTCCCATTGCATCATAATGATTAGTTTTCCTTTTTATTTCCCTTCTGCCCCGTTCCTTTCAAGTTATTTAAAGAAATCAATTATATTGCGCTTAAAGACATAAGAAAATAAGATCATTATTCTCTGGCGCTGGGGACCACATTACCTTTAATTTCTATTTAATCAGAATAATTGAAAGTCTTGAGCAACTGAAGAGCAGAAAATCAGTTCATCACTTCCTCTCAAAACTATATTTACCATTTTTTATAAAAATGAAGATGCAATGCCATTGCCATACTAATATCAACACCCAGAGCAAGCAGACCTTTCATATGAAGTCCTTGTTATATAGTTGGAATACTTTCTGTATACCACAAGAGCTCTACTCAATCAAAGAACATGCATACATATAGAAAGCTACAGTAATCAGGTGCAACTCACAGCTAGCATTTCGATTTTGCTTGTTTATGCTGTTCTTAAGCTAGCTATGCTGCCATTTTGCAACAAAACTGCTGGTATTAGGATTCCACATACCAGTGGCAAAGCACCACTGCTTTGTGCCTCAGCAGGAGGTTTATACAAACCTCACCAGCCAGAAGTCAGACAAATCTTCCTCCACGCTTAGCGAGTCCTTTCTCAGAAGTTTTTGCTCACCTCAACCTGCACGCACATTCATTGAGATCCTCTGTATTTATGGGGGAGCATTTGTTCCACACCCAAAAGGCATTACCAGAAATCTATCTACAAATGCACTTGAAAGAGTAACCTCACGAGACTAAGAAACTAAATCCAGGAGTCCTAGTTCAGGTAAAGCTGACTGAAGATAAACGGGAAGTGGATACTTAAAGTACACCTATGTATCACAACAAATAACAATTTTGAGCCGTGTTTCTCAGCTCACGCAACGTAAGTTGGCTAGAAAAGCATCTTCACACCAAAACTTGGGTTTAAGCCTCACAAAAAGAAATACCCTGACAATAAATTGTTTTAAGGTGTTGTCTATACATTTAAATGTTGAAGGCTTGAGGAGAAAACAAAGCAATCACCTGTTAGCTCTACCGCTATGATACAGAATATAAAATTGTTCTACAGGGATCTTTATGCGACATGCTCCGTCCAATAAAGGACATGAATATTTAAGGCAACACAGAGTTATCTCTTTGAACATTCTTACGTACTAAACAGGTCTGTAGGAATACATCTGAATAGGCAAAACATATGAGATAAACACATCTTCACAGACTTCAGAGACTAAAGTCAATCTTTTCAAGGCCTTCAACAAGTTTTTCACAAGGAATTTATGAAAAAATTGTTTGTTACAATGTCTTCACAATTTCACCTGCCCCCCGCTAAATCATCATTCTCCTACAGGCAATATTCTTGGGTATTTCACTCACAGGAAATGGTGAAGGCCAGATTTTAAGAGTGCCTGCAAGTGGTGCTAAGCAAAACTTATCCAGCAGGTACCTAAGTTTCCCACTAATATAGACAAATGCTCATTTCTTATTAAGCATTTCTAATGTTCTTTGGATAAAATACTCCCTTTCAAAAGGAAGCTACGTAAGAATGTGTTTCCCTCTGTTAAATCTTCTAGAAGCAGTAGCATTAATTTCAGAGATAAGTCAATTATTTATTTATTTGTAAATAAAGGGCTTTCAATACAAGGTACTTTAGGCCTGAGATTTTGATGAGCCTGGGAATACACAGGAATTAGTTGCACAGAGTCAATATAGACGTTATTCATGCTACGGAGGCAGCTATCAGTCCAACAAAATTTGAATTCTGTTTTGAAGATACCTACAAAGATACTTCAAACCTCTTATACTAAAAGCGGCAGAGTAAGAAATGATCCACATTATGAAGGGCACATCAATATAGAGTTAACTTTAAGCATCTTCTAAAAATTTTATTCAAGTGTAAATCTCATGTCGTCACTAGATCCCGAGGAATCCTACGCAATAAGGTGAGTGAAGGTACTTGTTGTACAGTCCCAGAAGAATCCTGTACAAATGTTGGAAGCGCGACCCAGATCTCAGATCATAATCTAATATAACTTTTTCAATTTCTAATGGCCAAGCATTTATGCACTGAGAATCACTGGTGTATTTTCCATCATCGGGAGATTCTAAAAAGATATCCAACCTCGAAACAAAAAATATGTAGCACAAACAGGCATTACAAGTGTAATGTAAACATTAGCAGGGGATCTCTATGATGTGCGATTGAAAAAAATGTTAAACTGGATTAACATAAATTCCTGCGTAGCCTTGAATTTATGATATCCTGTGTTCTTTCCCATGCCTACAAAAGGAAAACTATCCCAGTGACTTATCTTAGTAATTTTTTATTTCAGGACTAATCACTTGTCTCATCCTTGAGCAAAAGTCAAATCAAATCAAGCAGAGCAAAGGAAGCTCTCTATATGGAGAAAGAAAAAAAATCACTACAAAAATTAGGCATGTTCAGATGGACTGGTATCAATCTATATTAATTTGTTCAGTTTAGCACTAACGTAACTACACTGGACATAGTGTAAAATAAGTCTAGAATTATGTTACGTTTAGAAACAGGTAATGACTCTGTTTTGCAACACCCGGGTATTCTTATCACGCACTGGCTTAATATCTCTTATAAGCATCAAAGTTTTGGTTTTGTTCAGTTTACCGATTCATGGAGATTCAAGATGAATGTAAAAAAATCACAAAATATGTTTATAGGGGTCTCCACACAGACTTGAGCACTGCAGCACAAATGCTGGACCTTGTATACAGGTAAACAATTATTTAGGACATAGCGTTCAGGTTTTTTAAGTGAAATTCTATTTAGAAAGAATATATATTTTCAAACAATAGAGCACGTACAAGAAACTAAAAATAACCACAAAACAGTCGCAGAATATAAGTATTACCTTTGAATCAACCTCTTGATTACAATCTAGCCTTTCACAAAACACACAGAAGAGTTATAACGCTGAAAATCCAAGTCAATGACCATTTGGTATAGGGCAAAAAATAAAATACTGTTGATTTTCCAAAGCCTCTTTGCTAAAACACTACAATGTTTACAGCATCTATATTTCATGGAAGCTACACAGAGCTCTGTAACTGCTGGATAAACCATGCCTTCAAAAGCAGCATTTTAAAGTAAATATTTATTGGCAATCCCTACATCAGTAAGTAAGTAATGAAAGAGTAACCCAGATGTTTATCTATAGAATGACAGGAAATTTACTTTATCCTTGAAATTTAGAAGATCGCCCACCCCAACACACACAAACACACCTAGTTTTTGATTTCTATGAACAGGCATCTAAAACAAAGAAATGAAAAAGGAGTCATCGTTGTCATATTTACACGCAGAAACAGAATTACTTGGGGTTGAAAAAATAAAGGTAAACTTAATTTTCACGGGAAAATCGTACTTTGTTTTCCTAAGTAAAGCACACTCTTTTCCGCATTCACTTTGATTTAAGCATAAACCTGACATCTTCAGAAAAAATATCAGGTTTAATGCCTTACTTATGCTATTTCACCACCTATAAATGGAACTTAAAAGCATTTCAATTGCTTTGTTCTGGTAAGACAAAAGCTTTTTCATAACAAAGCAGCCTAGACAGTATACAGATTTGCCGCTACACTTCTCTCATTCTGTATGACTAAAGACTAACTTTATATCTGTTATTATAGTTACCATAATCAGTCTGAAAAAAGTGGAATTTATTTCAAAGTAAATTATTCATTGCAGTACTCATTCAAAAATGGATCTCAACAGTATCACTTTACCGTGCCTGCACTTTACTGCATGGAACACTCTCACACTGTTTCTAATGCATTGAATAATGTATATTTTCTGGCTTTACTGATTGATGTATTCTCCCTTCTCACTGGTGAGTAAGAAATTTTCCATTACATACCCCATTATGTTCTCATTGTAGAGAGGACCGGACACAGTGTTAGAACATTTTCACACCACCTTAATAGCATACTTGTTTTATTTGTAGTTTTATTCATTTAAACGCGAGGACAATGACTGCATTTTGCTTTGACTGCAGAACATGAGCCCCAGCATTCTCACCTCCCCCATGAGCTGTGAGCAGAGAGGTCTGGAGGGGCTCATCACTGAAGAACCTCAAACTCAAGTTACTTTAAAAACTTTCTCTTATCTCTTTAGGTTCTGGAGACACTTTGGTGTGGGGAGACGGAGAGGGAGACGGAGAGGGAGACGGAATTTCTTTGCATCGATTTTACAGCTGCTTAGATACACTAGCAGAAAAGATAGACTGTCAAAACAAGAGTTATCTTGAAGACTTATGTAGGATTTCTTCTTTATAGTAAAATTAATAGTAAAGCGAAATGAAGAGTGAACTTTTCACAAGCTTCAGCATTAGCCTCGAGATCTCTTCCTGACATCAATGCAGAATTGAAAAAATACTGAAAAATTGTTTCAATCCCTTCCAAAATTTTAAAGGATAAAAATATAGTTGAATCATCGTAAGCATCTTATTCTGAAGTAGCACCATTTAAAACAAATTCATGATAAACAGGGATTAA